CGAATATGCTGTTTACATTGCAATTCATGCATCTGTCGTATGGTAGATTCGTGTTGATTCTGCATTCCACAGAGACGTACACGCTGCTCGCAATGTTCAGGAAGACTATGAAGAACGGAATCAGGGAAAGCATATAGAATTTGCTAGTTGGAACGCTTCTATTTGATAGCTTGTAGTTCATCAATCCATAATATCGGTGTAACTGAAGTAGATGGGTCGTGGTGATCAATATGTACTTATTCATGGTTATTATATACTGCGTTGGCAGGATTCCGATAAGGTCAATAACGAAAGAGGTGTTCAGGTAATGGAGACTTGTTAACGAGGCTCTCGTGATCAATATACCTTTTTCATTGTAGTAACAGACGTGAAATCTTAAGTAAATATCGATAATACCAATAGCATCTGTCATCAGAAGAATCAATTTCACGGGATGAAGCTTTGGTAGAAATATAAGAAAAGTTGTCGGGTACAAAATCGAAGCTATAACAGCGCTGAAGCACCTGCAATACTCCCACCTCATGAATAACTTTCCCTCCGGATCCATTGTGCTGAGTATAATGAAATTCCATAACTTTATTAATCTGTTGTTATTCAACTTCGTGTGCTGAATAAACTGTATGTGTCTGTAGAAGGACTTTCGTCTAGCCAGGTTGAGGTACTTATAGTTCGCAAAATGAACGAGTTTAAGGTTATACTTCACAATCTTGTTCCTAATCGAACCAATATTCATCAGCGTGTACTCGATGCTCGGAATGTTAGGATACTTTAACATGACCCTCCTCAGCTTCAAGAAATCGACGATGATCAGCTTGCAATGCGTGATGCATTTGATGGACGAGCGACAGGGCATATTCAGCATAACCTCCATATCGTTCAAGCACGTCTTCGCGTGGATTTTAGATTTATTCTGGTTCACTCCACATATTTTCTCGCAACAGCCTTGACTAAGGATTAACAACTCTTTGAGCAAATCTCCGACATGGAAGATGATGGTTTCCGGGCAAATAGTGTTAGTTATTGCAGCCGATTGCATGATATCCACAACCACGTACTTGGGTAGACCGTAAAAGATGGGCAAGTTCATCATCCATGTAATGTGAAGTACGTTCTTGAACAAAATTCCTACAAGAGGTTTGGGCAAACTCTGGTACAAATAACCATTATCGATGAAATTGAGCCCGTTGTAAATGTCCGTCTCCGTATAAACTAACGACTTGATGCGTCGTTCCAATTTGGGCTCAAAGAATTTGATGGCTTGCAGCAGCTTATTCGTATTGTAGCAGATTGTACTATGATGAATCTCGCTGAATGCGAATGCGGAGAATATGTAACCATAAACAACGGAGAATCCAATAGCCAAGAACAAGAACATCACTATATTCATCACGGCGTAATTACTTAAATCCGCGTATTCGGGAACCCAAGCGGATACTCCGGTGACAATTTGCAAAGCGTAGAAGATCAGGATCAACATTTCTTTAGCATCGCATTCTCTCAAGCACTTTATATTGAAATAAATACAGCCCAGAAGGTAACTGCTGAAGAATAGGATCACGGTGACCGATATGATCCTCGATACAATCGGATTCGTACTGATGTAATGCTCCGTATTCTTCAGGAGCTTAATGACACGCAATAATTTGAATATCCTGTTTAGGTACAACGTGTTCACATTTTCCACCATGAAGATTCCGCTCAGATATTCCAAAGGAATGCACGAGATTAAATCAACCATAAAGACGAAGTTCTTTAGTTTTATAATCAAAATTTGCCTCATATCGGAGACTATCTGCTGATTTCTAGATAGTTTAACGGCAGTTCGCAGTTGCACGAGCACATCTGTCCACCAAATCATGGTATATAGGTAGATGGAAGCGTAGAAAATGGCGTTACGCTCCTTCTCAATCAATGCGTTGAAAGGTAGTTGAATCGTGGCCACGCAAGCTATTATGCATATGATTATTTCCCATGTCAATATCAGCTTCGTGTTGGGTCTCAGGATGTAAGGAAAATTTGATTTTATGAACAGTGTATCACGGGTTAATCTAATCCTTTCTGCTAAAACGTAAATGCTCAGATATTTTGCTGTGTACAAGCGATTTTTGAAGATTGTATCATCGATTTCGCATCTTAAATTGAAGGTTTGTATCGCGTGCTTAGCAGCAGCATCTCTACTCTTTGAACCCATTATTTTGTGCAGAGTATTCGTCAGCCAAGCCATGCTCAATGAACGATTGAACATATCCCCGTTCAACTCGTCAACGGCACCTTTCAAATTATGAAGATATCTTACGTACGCGTATCGTTGTTGAATTTTCATCCTGATCTTCCTGAACTGACGCACGTACCTTCGAGCCACCTCTAGGAACTGCTGCCTTTCCAAAACCTGTAGAATACAGGTGGTCACACATTTACATTTGTATATAGATTTGTAAGGTATCAGAATTGAAGTTTCCGCCAAGCAAGTTCCTTCCGTGAAGGTGATCAAAGGAGTTTCTCCATCTTCATTAGAGACTATAGTTATGGTTCCTTGAAAGACATAAATCATCTTGTCTTTGAGCTCGTCCTTGTGGAACACGTATTGCCCGCTCACGTAGATCTGCTGCTTAATATAACACGATAATTCTTTTAAAAAGTCAGTATTTAAGTCTCTGAAGAGGATGGAGTGCACCAGAGCTGCCATGCAAATATCCATCTGGATTTCGGTGCGATACGCTTGCGGCAGGATGCTCTCAAATTGCAAGAAGGGATACTCTATCCTAGTTTCAGCCATGTAACCATGGTAACCTCTGCAAACCCTCCACATGCAATCGAAGAAATCGTCCACCTTATCCATGTAAATCCGATACAACCTGTTCCTTTTCAGAATCATCTTGATCGAAAGAAACCTGAATCTGAAATTGCTCTTGTGCAAGGCTCCGATGAAGAAGTTGAAGGTCACGTAAGCTGTGTACATGCAGAAGATGAAGACGAAGAGCAGTATCGTCGATATATCGATGATGGTGTTGTGCTGAAAGTAACCGGTTGCTTCTATACCGAAACCTCGCATCGTGACAGCTCCACAGATGGCGTACATGATCTTGTACAGATGTTCATCGTCCGTACTATCGTTGCCGTGACAATCGTCGTTGTAGCAATTCATGTAAGTGAATATAAATCCAAGGAACATCAAACAGAAGAACATCAGGCATATAGCTTGCACGGATCTCGTAAGCACCGAACATTTTACTCTTGAATTCAACATTCTGAAGATGTTTATCACGTAGATGATTTTCAAGATGCGGTTCATCGTCAGCATGGTCTTCACGAAAGAACCTTGAAAGTAGAAGACCTCCAGTGGAATCGAGGATAACAATCCCAAAGCAAATTCCAAACCTTTGCAAACGGTCAAACGTTTCTTGTTAATGCGAATTGATATGATCCTCAGAACGTGATCGATGATCCAAGTTCCATCGCACATGTAATACAAATCTAAAATATAATTTTTATAACATATAAAATAACAATATTGTATGATGTTACCTGTCTTCACCAAATTATAGGATTCATGCCTGATGGATACGATACCATCAGCCAAGGTGTCATACATGCTGAACATTCCCACAAAGACCATTGTATTATACCAAATTGATTCGTTGGTTAACGAACAAATTCTCTTCAGCTGGTTGTGCTCCTGATCGAAATCTTCCAAATACGAAATGTATTTGAAAGTTTCCCGTTTGTAACGCCTCTTCGACTTCGGATTGGCATTTGCCTTTGGTTTTACACCTTTATTCATTTTGACAAATTAATTTGTTTTTGTTCATTGACAACTATGATTATAGTTACATAAATGTTAATCCAATTATTTACTAATTCATTTCTTTTCCTTGTAAAAATAATACCTCTTAATTAGAGTAAATAACATACAAAAAATATATCAACTGCAATTAAATATAAGAAGAAAACAACGAAAGTAAATATAATTTATGTAATAATTAATATATTTTACCACAGTAACTGCACTGAACGTCTCACCAAGCACCATAAAATTTAATTATCAATTAAGTGCATTCATTTTTTACTATCTTTTCTTTATTAATTTTATTGTCCGTTAATTAAACGTAATTCCAACAGTTTGTATCTTCAGTTTAAGTAGAAATTAATGGACACTTTAATAACTGTTGATTAAAGTTTTCATTGCTGTTTAAGATTATTACGTGTGAAATATATAACCAAATTTTGTTCTTTTAATTTTTATATAGATATTTTGTATTTACTATAAAATTTTAGATTTATATTATTATTTCCAAATTGCTTCTTAATTCTTAACACTTTAATTTTACCGAAGAAAAATTCTGTTTAATTAACGTACAAGAATAAGCAAGTTTCTGTACGCTAAGTGAATGATGTTTTGATGTTCAATACAATATAAAACAATTAAATTAAAGTTTGAAATTATTTCCTGCTTCTTCATTTTTAGCGCTTTAATTTTAAACACTTAGTGTTCAGTTAACGTACAAAATGAGTTTGTATATTGTCGTATTATCCGATTTAAAGTATTCATTCTAAATTTCTTCTTAATTCACGCTAAGTGAATGTATATTAATAGTATGTTTTGATATTTCAATATGATATAAAACAATTACAATTATTATTAAAGTTCGAAATGATTTCCTGCTTCTTCTTGCTTAGCACTAGCAGTTAACGTATAAAATAAGTTTTTAAATTGTCGTATTATCATAGAAACTGAACTTCTAAGGCAAATAGGTTAAATGAGCACTGACTGTAATTATATAATTATCTCTATATAGATGTACGTATCATCGAACTTATATATAATGTACGTATGTCAAAGCCTAACATTAATTATCTTTGAGTGAAAACAAGGTAGATTGAAGTGGATAAGTTTATAGGAATTCTATCTAATTGTTTTTTTAATATGATATTGTATGTAGGTATAGAAAGGATATGTTTACAAATAAAATAATTATGTTTATTTCACTTTATTATAGGAACATATGATTCTCGTACACATTGTAATAATATTGCAAAAACTTCATTGTAAAAATACGCTTGATTAAGAAATATATACTTAATGTATATAATTATTTTAAAAAAAACTTAATTTTCTTGCTTGCTTTCAGTTTCTTGAAAAATGGTTGTTATTGAATTTTTGGTTGTTGTGATTGTTTTTATTCTATTGATTACGTGCATAGTTTTGTATTAGCTGCGTTTCTTGAATTTTCTAAATTGCTTTTATTGTCTGAATTGTTTGTACTGGCTGCATTTGCTACATAACGTGGATTTACGAAAGCCGAACGTTCGGCATTCACATGTTTGGTCGGTATCCTGTAACTTCTATCTGATCCTGGTTCCGGTCGATAACAGTTAAAGACACGACTATCGGAACCTCTACGTCTTCTTAACATTTTGTTCGAATTAGAATGTTGACTGGTCAAACCCCATCTACTATTCGCCCGAATTCGAAGAAAGTGCGCAGAATTATTGATGGCGTTACCATCCAACAATCTCTTACTTATCCACATAGTTACGTACATATGTGAAACGGCATTATTGAAGAATGTCAGAGGTGACAAATATCCCAAAGGATTCAATGCACCGAAGTCTCGGATCATATCATGTTGTAAGGGCGGTGGTCCGAATTCCCTATCCTGCGGCGGTGGTACTCTAGCAGCAATTGGTGGCTGCACCCTAGGAGGATGTGGTAATACAGGTGGTACAGCACGTGGCGGTACAGGCAGGTGCCGAACTCTCGGAAGTGCCGGATTCGGAATCCTGGCTGGTAGCAACCTAGGTGGTACTGGTACATAGTATTGCACCGCAATTACGCCCCCGATCGGTGGTGGATCAACGTTCTGTCCTCGCGGTAATCTTACGGGTCGAGCTTGAGGGAAGTGGGGTTGCGCTGCTCCTTCGATTGGGAAATCTTCCACAATTGGATACGAATTCCTTTCTTCTGAATGCAGAGCGTGAGGCACGATTGGACTGAACAGACCTGTCGATATGTCCTGATCTGTTGCACTGGTGTCAGGATTGGATACAAGTTGCGGCATTTTCAATCGAATTAGTTCACCCAAATTCATGGTCACAGTACGGTACTGCCTCACTCGATTGGTCACACCTCTGACGATGCTCTCAGCTACACTCTCCATCTCCACTTCAGTTCCGGTATATTTGAAATACTCTGGGCGTTGTTCGAAACGCATTCGATATTGTCTTATGATGTGATTTACAAATTTGGACATTCGATTTGGCGATCGATCTCCTTGATTTTTTTTCAAAAATTGATTGTTCATCTTCAATCCTCTTCCAATTGAAATACCAAACGAATTCTCTGAAAAATCAAATAAATAACAGTTATTAGAAATATTTCAATTACAATGTATTAATTATTATAGAAAGATCAAAATTAGATATAAAAAAAACTGAAAAATTATATATAAATTAATTAATTACTGTCAAAAAATTATTGAAGTTGGCACACTTATTTGACCTTACGTAACGTTATTCAATTTACATTGTTTTGACGTAAAATTGAAAGAATTTTATTAAACTGTCAAAAAATCGGCATTGCGTCATTTTTGACATAATGTAATTTTCTTAGTTGTTAGAATATTTTGTAATGAAATAATTTAACAAAAAAATAGGAAATATCCTATCATATATTTTTTTAAATGCATAATACATAATTTACAATATTTCATAAATTTTACAAAATATCCAAGAAGATGCCACGATTCCATTTTTTTTCAAAGAAATTAATATTGACTTTATAGAAACTATGTTAGGAATTGGTTCCAATTAAAGCGCTTTGAAAACGCTTAAATATGATTTCTCAACGATTTCTCGATGTGGAAATGTTTGTGTATCAGATATGAATAGAGAGAGAGAGAAAAAGAAAAAAGAACTGAGAGGGCGGATTTCGTGCAAAAGCATAATAATTTATAACAAAACATTGTCAGTGATGTAATTATATGGAGGATATGATTGAATGGCATTTCGAAATAAGTTATTCCATTCAGAAGCAAATATGGAATGACTTCGGCCGACAGTGGAATTATTAAATGAATAATTAATATCCAGATTCTTTGCATCTCTCTCTTTCTGTACGACGATTATAAATTTCGCTTCGCTTATTTCTTATTTATTTAAATTCGGTCTTAAGGAATTAAAAACAAAAAGGATTCAGAAAAGGATAAAGGGAATAAGAAGATTAATATTAATAATGATGATGATGAAACGTGTAAATGTGGATAAAATAAATTGGGTAATAAGTAACAATTTGGCGAGTTACGACACGTAGTGCATGTAAATTAACGAAATGTGGGTCAAATAAGTGGATATATGCATATTCTTAAGTAATGCAACGATAATTAAATTGCAATGCATACATTATGTCGAGCGGAGAGTTAATTAGTGTTTCAGTATTTTTGGTTTCACACATACAGTGTGTGTATCAAAATCTCAGACAGTTAAAAAAATGTTATTATTATTAACATTTATTTTCTTATTAAACTATATTTATATGTAAATATAGTTAAAATTACTATGTACAATTAAAAAAATATATTAGAAAAATTGTGAAAAAAATGAAAAATGTTATTTCTATCATTTGAAAGCTTATAAATACTACAAATATGATAATAGACTGTATGGAAAGGCCATATTGTTATCTTACATTTTCATATTCGATTTTCTAATTAGCTTTGGTGATTATAATGTAATTAAGTAAAACGTGAAGACGAAAATAGATATGAATATAAATTTAATTTAATGAAATAAACAAGATCCAGGAAATTTTAATTTTCATAACATTAGAAAAAAAATAACTTGATTAAACTTACTTCTGAAATTACTATTTTTGTATATTTTACAGTGATAAATATGTGCTAAAAAGTAACACGCGGTATATTTGAAATTTATATTTTTAATTTCGTGGATCGAAAAAATCGGAAAATTTTTCTGCTATTATTTTAAACCTTATAACTTGGAGGAAATAAATACTACAAATATGTTAGTAGACTCTATGGAAAAGCCTTATTTTTATCTTAAACTTTCATATTCGATTTTCTAATTAGCTTTGGTGATTATAATGTAAGACGTGAAGACAAAAATTGATATATTTTGGTAACTAATTTAAATTTTTTCAACAAAAAATTTACAATATATAGGAATAACACATTTTACAATAAATATGAATTAAATTTAACGAAATAAATAAGATCCAAGAAATTTTAATTTTCACAACTTTAGAAAAAAAATAACTTGAATAAACTTACTTCTGAAATTACTAGTTTTGTACATTTTACTGTCATAAATATGATATAAAAAGTAACACGCGGTATATTTGAAATTTGTATTTTAAATTCTTAATTTCATCGACAGACATAAAATAAACAAAAAATATTAAAGAAATTGTGAAAAAATTGAAACCTTTGAAACCTTATAACTTGAAGGACATAAATACTACAAATTCGGTAATAGACTGTATGGAAAAGTCATATTTTTATCTTAAATTTTCATATTCGATTTTCTAATTATCTTTGGTGATTGTAAAGTAATTAAGTAAAACGTGAAGACGAAAACAGATATATGTTGGTCATTAAAATATTTTACTATAAATTTGAATTACATTTAATGAAATAAACAACACAAAAAAAATAATTTTCACAACTAAAAAATAACTTGAATTAACTTACTTTTGAGATTATTATGTTTACACATTTTACTGTAATAAATATGAACTAAAAAGAAAAAATAACACGCGGTATATTTGAAATTTGTATTTTAAATTTTTAATTTCGTCGACAGACGTAAAAAAAACAAAAATAAAATTGAAACAATAAAAAAAGGTGAACGACGTACGGACGGCGACAAAATTCAGGTGTAATTTGTATAATGTTTGCTTGTCCAAGTAGCAATTAATCAAAACGGCATTAAATTTTATATGCATTATGTAAAATCCGTTATTGATACATGAGGACGGAAAACAAAAGAGGACAGGACAAACCACAGAGAGAAAGAGGACGAAACGAGGTGAGCGAGAAAAGGACGAAAAAAAGAATATGTACATGAAAAAGTATTGAGTGAGTTGAGGAGAGAAAGAGAGAGAGAGAATGTATACGAAAAAAAAAAAGAAGTAAGCGGCATGGATATTATAAGGAAATTTTATTTATGCAAATGCCGCATTTAATATTCCATGTTTTATAATTGGGAAATTATTTTTTAAGTTCTCATTAATGTTTATTTGCATATTGAAGTGGAGAGATACACCGCGAACGGCTCCTATGTTCCACGCGATATTTTTTTGACATGTATATTAAAATTGATTAATTCAAATTACGTTGCGTCGTCGAAGAGACGAGCCTTCTATGTATATAAATACGTGTAGCGAAAAAAAACAGCGAGAGAGAAAAAGGATGAAGGGAAAATTAAAACAACAAAAAGGGTTTGAGGTTTGCAAGCTAGGAAAAATGATGAGAGACGTGCATACCCCCACACACACACATCTATTCTCTCACTCTTTCTGTTGCATTCACACGTAACGCAGATGATTTTAAATTTCAAATTATAGCACATATAACTAATTAAACGGAATTTTGTATTCCGCCATTTTAATATTTATAGTTGGATTTTCGGTACGGCGCGCCGCTTGTCCCTTTTTTGCATACAACCATTTTTGCGCGAGTCTTTCCTGCCCTCTTCTTTTCATTACAATTACAAAGCAATAAATTACAATTTTCCGCCGTGCCGAAAATTTACATCACTCCATTCTTCTATCCTGCATGTTGAGCAAATATGTGTACTATCTCGTCATGTTTAAAAGATTACATTATAAATACATTAGTTCTCAGTTTTGTTTTTATACTTTTATTGTTTTCTTTTCTGGGGCCACGTACGCACGTATGAATACTGGATCGTTTCGTGGATCATTATTCATGGGAATTTGTCTCTTATTTTTCTGTCAGAATGTATTCCAAAATTCTGAAAGCCCTGATGGAAAGATATTTGCAATTCTATTGTTTTACAATTTAAAGTTAAGTTAATATGTTAAGTGACGTTGACGTACGTCAATATTTTAAAGGTTGTCATTTAGCATTCATCCACAATCAAAGTATCTTAATATTAAAACCTTGAAATTATATTTGAAATTCTATTTTTTGGACATTATAAAATTCGGTTAATATTATTTAAAATATTAACCTAATTTAATAATGTCGAAATATGTCAATAATTTATAGGTTATCATAGGTTATAGGTGTCATGATGTATAGACATTTAAAATTCTCATTATTTAACATTATTAAATTAGATTCATATGTCAATTATTGATAGGTGTCATTCTGACATTTATCCGCAAGTTTCTTAATATTATTCAAGCCTTAATGGACATACATATAACATCTAATTTTCAATTTTAAAGATTAGATAAAATAATAACTTGTTGACATACGTCAATAATTTATAAGTTGTCATTTAGTATTCATCCATACATCAAAGTAACATATTATTATTCTATAGCCTTGGTACATACACATTTCAAGTTAGGTTAATATTTTAAATAATGTTGATGTATGTCAATAATTAGGAGGTTGTCATTTTGGTATTCATCAATCCTAATATACTGTAAGGGACCCTTACAGTATATTACTAATCATTAATGAAAAGACATATCTAATTCTACAATCCTTGATGAATAGACATTTGAAATTCAAATTTTTTGACATTATTAAGTTAGGTTATTTTTTTAAATAATGTTGACATATGTCAATAATTTAGAGGTTGTCATTTTGGTATTCATCAATCCTAATATAATGTAAGGGACACTTACAGTGTATTACTAAGGATTAATGGAAAGACATATCTGTTTCTACAATCCTTGATGAATAGACATTTAAAATTTTATTTTTTTTGTTATTATTAAGTTATGTTATTTTATTAAATAATGTTGACATATGTCAATAATTTGGAAGTTATTATTTTATCATTCACCCACAGATTCAAGTATCACAATATTCTACAAGCCTTGATGTACAAACATATTTTTGTAGATTAGGTAAAATACTAACTTGTACATACGTCAATAATTTTGAGGTTGTCATTTGACATTCAGCAATACTCCAATAATCCTAATATTCTGTATGGCTTAATGGATATACAATTGAATATAGGTTTTAAAATTATGTATGCTTTTTAACAATATTAGGTTACTATTTTAAATGAAATTGACATATGTCAATAATTTAGAGGTTGTCATTTTGACATTCAACTACACATCACACATCAAACACTAAAAACCTTCAGACATGGAAATTTATATTACTAATTTTAAAC